AATTTTATTTGGAAAGTTTGATTGCTAGAGCCATTTTTCAAGGGACTACTTTACTCATTACAGTGATTAACTGTTATTCAGCAGTTCATTACACAGTTTCTAAAAAATAATGAAAAAGGCATTTCATGAGGGGCAGAGGGTTTAAATGTGGCATGCTTTATGAATAATGCTTGCCACAAACAGATCAACTCTTGCTACTAGGTTCTGTGAGTATGGAATTAACTTAAAGGCCAGCTTCCTTAGGAACAAAGAGGAATTGTTCACTTTGAAGAAGATATTGGGCCAACTCTGGGCCTGAAAAAGAAGGTAATGAGGGGTTTGCATCTTCCATGGCCACCTTCCTTTTCTGGAAGCTTTCCTTCTCTTAGATCAGGGAAGGAAAGCAAGGTCCATAGAGTTTTGCTTCTGCTCACAAACATGATTTGTGAAGGTTCTCTTGAAAACAAAATCCAAGCCTGTAAGAATGGCCACATTCCTTTAAACCAGTGGGGATCATCACTGTGCTGTGATTTTGAGGAGCACCATTCTTATGAGCAAAGGGAAAGCTATTTACAGCCAAAGCATCAAGTTCACAGTACCCATAACCTGTAAATAGGTCTTACAGACCACTGAGAAAGAACCAAACAGCCAACAGGAGAATATGCAAAGGATGCTACCAGGCAAGTCAAGTGGAAATAGAAGTGTCAATTATGGAGAAATGTTCCACCTCACAAGTCATCAAAAAACATAGGCAAATACAAAGGAGATCTCATCCTTTAACCTCCCACATTTATAAACATTAAAAATATAATTATGCCCAGTGTTGTCAAGAGTATGGAGAAGATGACAGGTTTTCAAATTCTAGTGACAATTAACAGTGAGTTAACTTTCGATGGACAAGTGGCAAGTGCAGTAAAGATGTTCATACCCATTTGATCAGAGTAATTCTATTTCTAGGGCTTTGTATTGAGCGGTACACACACACACACACACACACACACACACACACACACACACACACAAACATAACATGGAAAGATGTTTACTATAGGATAACTGGCTTTGGAAACTTTTTCTATAAAGAGCCAAATAGTTTATGTTTTAGTATATGTGCAGCCGAAGTGAGCACAACATAGTTTTATATTTTAGACTTGGCAGATGATGTGTCTTTATGTGATTTTCAATTCTAGCACTGTATTAATAAAATGGCCTTAGATAATGCATAAACAAATGAGCACAGCCATATTTAAATAAAACTTTATTTATAAAAATAAACATCAAAAGGATGGATGTCATCCATAGACTGCATTTGCTAGTTTATACAGTACAAATTATGCTAGTTTAAAGCTAGAACCAATTCAATGTCTAATAATTTGGAAATGATAAAATATTTTATGCAGGTTTTTCATCTATCTCATGGGAAAATGTTCATGTGAAAAGAAAATCAGAATAGAAGACTATGGGTTTAGAGTGATCCCAGTTTTCTAAAGGAAACAAAATACGTAAGCATGGAAAAAGGATTAGAAAGAAATATACAAGGTTTTAGACAGCAATGGTGGTTTTAATTTTCTCTTTTATATTTCTCAGGAACTATAATGTGTACGTGTTTAATTTTTAAAATAGAAAACAAAGTTTGAAATGACAGAAGTAGGCTTCTGGTGTGAATATGATTCTACAAGTTGGCATTCTGCCCTTCTTCATGAGGAAACAATAAAAAAAATTAAAAAGGGGGAAATCCCACCATCTTCCATTTTTGGAAAAACCAAGACACAAATATCACATTTTAAAAGGGGAAACGTAAGACAAATTTTCTCCTCAGCAATTGAGAGGAAGGTGTAAAGAAGAGAAGCGAGATTCTAAAGGAAGCACATTTCACAAAGTGCTAAAGCTAATGCCCTTCCAGAGACAAGCAGCTCCACTGAGGGACAACGGTCTTTCCCCATCCGCAGAGGGGCGTCGTGGCAGGTGGTGGGCTGGCAGCAGCCAGAAGCCCAGGTGTCATCAGGCTTAAAACCATACAAGACGAGATCAGTTCCTTTTCAAGACACGACATTTGAAATTCAAAATTAGGTTCGAATGAGAATTATTTTGAATGATCAAAAAAATGGCAGCAAATTTACATTTTTAAGCTGATTATTTCTACAGGGAAAAATATGGTTCCAATAACTAACTACAACTAATAACGGTGGAGGGGCGTGACCCACCTTTACAGTACTCCATTTCTATAATATCCCACCTTCTTTCCCTATTTTTTGCTGCATAGTCTTAATCACTTCTTCATAGGATGATAATTTGTAACATGCAGGAACTCAGAGAATATTGTTCCCATGAGATTTGGTGGGGAAATTCCTAAATGAACTTCAGTCTATTAAAGATGATGGAAACCATGGCAACAGGATCACTGGGACACTTGGAATACACCAACTGCAGTGCGGGACTACAGGAAATTGGGGCATTATAAGTTAGAAGAGAAAAAAATTAACTGAGGAGAAGCAAAAGGAAGTAATTAATAAAAGTAACAGCAAATATTAGCAAAGTGGAATAAGTCAGTAGACTAAATAGAACTAAAAGCTTTTGGAGGGGAAGTTAATAACCTGCTGAACTTCTTCAGAAAAATGGAGGTAAATAATGAATAGTCAAAGTCAGAAATGTTATCAGAAAATTATTACAAAATCTAAGCAAACTAAAATAATCGTAAAAGGCTACTTTGCTAAACTCAAGAAAAATACACCTGAAAACTTAGACGGATGGACAGTTTTTAAAGAAAATACAGCTTTCCTGACTGATTCCAAAAGAGAAAATCTAAACAGACCAATTTTCATGAGGGGGTTAATAAAGAAGAAAGTTGCTAAATGAGCCTCATCCCTTGAAATGTACCAGATTCTGTCAGTTTCATGTAGGCTTTATACTAACATCACAGAAAATCCTGAAGTTATTTGAACTATTCTAAAACACAGAAATAGAATAAATCTTCCAAATTTTCTTATGTGGGCAATCAACAAATGCAATGAAGACTTAAAAAGTAGATTTACAGATTATGCTTTATGAATACTGATGCAGAAATCCTAAGTGAAAAATTAACAAATAGACTCCAGAATATTAAAAGAACAACTGCATCCTCAGGTGGTGTTTATGACAGGAATAATGACAGTTTAATATTAGAGGGTAATTCATGTAATTCACCATATTACTAAGTTTAAGAAAGAAAACTGTAATTCAATACTATTCTTGTTGCAAATGTTCAAAGACTCAAGAATGTTTCCTTAATATAATAATAGTAGTAGTAGTAATAGTAACAATAACGAATCTACCACTGATTTGGCATTATGCTGAAGAGAGAAATACAAGAAGCATCTTTTGTAGGGTCAGGAGCAAAAGAAGCTTTGTACTAGAAGCAGTAGCCTATGGACCTGAACAAGAAAAACAAAGTAGGAGTAAAATTTTGACCAGCAAAAGATAATGTAATATCTACTTACAGATATGATTATAGACCTTGAATAAAAAAAGAAATATAAATTACTGAAATAAAGAATATAGGAAGATAATAAAGCACAAAAACCACAGAATCTAGTAACTTTCATATTTATGAATAATAGCTAGAATGAAGATAAACTAGATGAAAACAGTCCATTTACAATAGTAACTAAAAAGGTAAAGTACACAGGAATCAATGTAAGAAATTTAAAATGACTTACAAAAAGCTTTCAAACATTTCTGAAGTCCCCCACCCCTGTTCCTGCAGGGAACAAATGAAAAGTTCTGCATCCTGCAATCATTTTAGAAAGAGAAGAAAAAACATGATCTGATTTCAATTCATTCGGCATTTGTTTTCTCAAAAAGCATATTTGCCACAAGTAATTACTATGAAAAGGGAGCTGTGTCTGGTTAGAAAGTTTTTAATATGAAGCGGTATTGGATGATGCAATTATTTCCCCAGCCTGAAAGGCAGACTTGTCACTGAACTGCAGTGCTCATGGGGCACATGCAAAGGAACACGGCACACATTGCTGGTGTGCAGGGTCACTCAGCTTACGGGGCAACTTGACAATATCTTAATAAAGATTCCTCATTCATGGGTGCAGTGGTGCACGTCTGTATCCCAGCTACTTAAGTGACTGAGGTAGGAAGATTCCAAGTTTAATCCCATTCTGGACAATTTAGCAAGACTGTAGAATTGGGAGACAAAGCCAGGCCTGGAACACACAGCCTGTAATCCCAGTACTCTGGGAGACTGAGGTAGGAAGACAGCAAGTTCAGTCCTGGTTTGGGCAACTGGTTTTTGTGTTGGTGACTTACTGACTCTGTCTCAAGATTTTTTTCAAAGGAGGGTGGGGTTTTACCACATTGTAAAAATCCTAGTCTCAGTCCCCAGTAAAACACACACACACACACACACACACACACACACACACACACCCCAAACAGGAAAACCTAGGGGTCTGATTCAGTGGTAAAGTACTTGCCAAGCATGTGAGGCCCTGGGTTCAATCCCCAATACTGCGAAAAAGATTTGTCATTCTATGAAAGGTAGTGCAAAATAATATAGGAAACCCAGTTCTTTCTTTCTCTCTCTCCTTCTCCCTCTCCCTCTTCCTTCTCTTCACCTCCTTCTCCTTCTCTATGGGCTGTGCTATCCTGCAGGAAGCAGGATAAGGACTCTAGGATCTCCAAGCACTTTGGCTCAGAACTCCTTCTGCTCAGCAAGCTTGGTAACGTCAAATGCTCCAGAGGCAATGGTGAGCTCAGCTTTCCCTTAGTGATCTCAAAACACTTTAAAGATGAATTTGCAGTAAGTTCCTCTTCTAACACTAAACCACAATAAATTTGAGCCAAGAATGGTCCATGATGGAGAGCTGTAACTCTACTCAGGGAGGAAAGGAGACTACAGGAAAATTCCTCAGGGCAGTTCTAGTTCAACTATCTCGGCTTAGGGATGAAGACATGAGGTTTGGGGAAGGAGAGGGGATGGCCACCAGCGGCTGAGCTTGGCCAAGGACCCTTCTCTTCTGGTTCCTCCCTTAGGGCTCCATGCCATGCTGAGGAGAGTCAGGCCCGCTGCATCACAGCAGGCCAACGCGCCTGAAAGAAAGCTACCGAGACTGATGAGGACAGCAGGTAGGACAGTAATGTCTGTCACTTCCTTGGGCTGCCCCTCTTTCTTCCAAATCTGAAAACTCTGGCCTCTAAAGGAGCTGGGAAGAGTGGAGGCATGGGGTGTGTGGAGGCACAAAGCGGTTTAAATGTTTGGGGGAGATCACCATGTAATGCTCAGGGTAGACCAGGGGGCTTGACCAGAGATCAGGTTCTGAGACAGTGGAACATCTTAAGGGGACTCAACCAGAATGCTTGTTTCATTAGATCAGAAACCTAGGATACTTTCAGATTCTAGTATGACCAAGCTTTGCAGGGGACTCTGGCTCCAGGCCTTACCACACTGTGGGGTTTCCACATCATCACATATTCCGTGATGCGGTTCTGGGTGGGCCAAGCTGCCTCTCAGAGGCTCAGTGTCTGCCGATAGGTAGTTCCACTACCCTCGTGGAGCTGAGAACAAGGTGACATAAGATAAAAATGCACTTGAAGCATGACAAGAGGCACAGAAACGAGGGTGAGGGGGGCTTTTGTGTTGGTGACATTACCTCAGCCTCGGATTGAGCTGCAGCTGGGAACTCTGCCTTGGGTTAAGACAACTGTGGTGTAGAAGCCAGGCTCTGGGCAATCTTGGGCAAAACCTATATTCTTTTTGAACCTCTCAGTTTCCTCACATTACATTTGGAATAATGAGACTCACCTATCTCATTGGAAAAATAACAGAGGAAGCGGCCATAGCCAATTATTTTTTTCTTCTGTTACAGAAACAAGAGCATGAGGGCCCTTCTGAGAGTGATTTCACAGCCGCAGAACCATCCTCCGTGATTAAATGGGACGGTCAGTAAAACCAGGAAACAGGAGCTCCCCAGTGGTCAGAACACTAAGAATTTCACAGGAAAATATTCCAAAAGTTTCCTTTGGGGACTGTAATCCTGTCTCCATCTCAATTCCAAATCCTGAGTAAGCCCAGGTCCTGAGAAAAGCTGTCTGGTGAGCCCATTGTGAAATGTACGCCACACTCATAAACACATGAAAGGATCTCTGCTCTTTCTATGACATTTGCTCTCTGTTGTTCACACCCCATGAGGTAGGCAGGTTGATGGTGTCTCCATTTCTCAGAAGGAGGAAACAAAACCATGAAAGGTCACATTCAAGATCCTTTCCTAAGCAAATCCCCGTCCAGCCTAAGAGCTCTGCTCACAGTGCTTCTTCCTCTCCACTTTGACAAGTTTATGATCATTACTCTCACTGAAATGGAATAACCAACCCAAACCAACAGGAGTATTTAATAATAATTATTATTATCTAATTAGTACTTATGCTTGTGCCTCAACAGGAGTAGGCAATAATCTTTTACTTAGTGGAAGAAGATATACATTGGATTCAAATTCAAGTAAGATACAAGCCATATATAAAATATATGTCATTATACACATATTCACACAGATAATATACATATATTCACACATCTGAAATTTAGGGGAGTTAAAGAAGATGCTTGTATTAGTCAACTTTGCAGTACTATAACAAAATACCTGAGGCAGATAATTATAGAGTTCTTTTGGCTCACAGTTTTGGAGGGCCCAGTCAAGATTGAGCAGACCCATGACTTGGGGTCTCTGGTGGGTGTGTGGCAAGAGTAGGAAGCACAGTCTCACCTCAGGGCCAGGAAGCAACAGAGATAGAAGAAAGCAAGGTCTCATATCCCCTTCAGAAGCACACCCCAGATGATCTAAGGCCCCTCTACCTGCAAGTCCTCGGGACCTCTCAAAAGTGTTACCATGGGGATCAAGTCTTTAACAGGGTCTCTGGGAACATTTAACCTCCAAGAATTGAGGTATTTGAAACAGTGTAACTGATCTGAACCTGTATTCAGCTCACTCTGTCTCTGTCTCTTTGTCCTTCTCTCCCTCCCTCTTTCTACTCTCCTTGTGTCTCTGGATGGTGCTTTTATTAACTGTCACAGGTATCTCTCTACCACTTTATATTCTTTACTATGTAAAATATTGATTACTGGCAATCATACCTATTCCTTTTTTGATGACTCCATCGAAATACTCTCTCTGCCTCCATCACAGCTAGGGAAGTGTGTGTCAGCTGTTCTGACCAATGAAATGTAAGCTGAACTCTGCAAGGAGAGAGCGAGTGCTGGTTCTGGGGAAGTTGCAATGCTGCCCTTTCCATCTGTCTTTCAGCCTTGACCTAAATATCATGTTTGGCAATTCAGGTACTCTCTGATGACCACAGGATCAAGGCCAAGCGATCCACAGAGGTGGTGCCATTATTAAACCACACAACCAACTCAACACTACTCACCCTAGACTTCTTGTTACGACAGAAAAATAAACCCTTCTTAGGGATTTGGTTTAAGCTACTATAAATTGGGTTACTATTACATGAAACCAAATACCTTGATCAGACTATGGTCAGAAGGAGCAGAGATTATTTTTCCCTTCATACTTTCTAAGTTGGTTCTACATGTTGATGTTGGAATTTGGGAATCCTCAAGATTCTGGGTTGCTTTTCTGGTATTAAAAGTTTAAAAGCTGAGTTTTCAAGCAACGGCTAGGAGTACATCAAGGATCGTTACTTTGTCAATATTCACCTGAGGTCAGAGGAGTTGATTAGAAATTGCATTGTTCTCATCAGTTTCTACAGAATGAATGACTAGGAGGTGGGGAAATAATACTTGGGACAACAGACATAAAGAAATAATTCCTCCATCTGGCAGTGAGCATATACATACACTCTTCTTTTCTACTTTCTTTTTTATTTTTGGGTAAAGGCTCAATGAACAAATGGTATGGAGGAAGAGGCTAAAGCAATAAGAACAAAAAATACAGAGAAAAAAAAAGAACCAGGGATCTCTACTTGAGTTACATGCATCCAAGAAAGTCACCCGCTACTGTCACTGTGCCTTGAAATTCAGTGAAGGTTCTTAGCTACTTTGAAAAGTGCTAGTGGTCCAGAAAGAACTGATTGACTTACAAGTTCAAATATGAGTGCTTAATTTTTGAAGATCATTTTCCCAGGAACTCACAAGGCTTTTTTCTTAATGTCTGCCTGTCTGTCTATGCATTTACCTGAAGAAGAAACTAAAAGTTTTATAAATTCACTTTGAAGCAAAAGGAAACTATCAGTACTTTTCACATAAGCCTAATAATACAGTCTTCCAAAGTCATCAAATTATATCAACTTGGACTTTTTAGAATGAACTGGGGCTTTTTTTTCTCAGAGTCTAACAGTTACATCTAAAAGCAACATTTGTCATTGTTTAGAGGTATTTTTTCCTCTTTCAAACACAAGGCTTCCCCCATACCTTAGAGAGTACCCTTCTTCTCCTCCCAAAAACATCTCAGAAAGTCTTCTGGTTTTAAGCCAGTTGAACCTGGGAAGCTTGATCACATGTATAAACATCAAAACATTATGTATGCTTTGACATTTGGCCAAGTTTCATTAATTTGCCCTTAAAACTCAATCAGGTGTGTAAATGGTCTGCACAGGAGTAGGCAGAGCAATATTTACAACAATGAAAAGTGGAGACAGCCTGTGGGAGATCAGATTAGGGTTTAGAAATATTTATTATCTATCGTGCCCCCATAAGTTGGTCCAGAGTATGTCCTGCCCCCAAATTTGGTCATGTAACTTACTCTGACTGATGCAGCACTCATGACCAAGATCCAAGCCAGAGCTGGAGCTTGTGACTGGGTGTGCAGGCTGGCACCTTCGTCATCACCATGACAAACACTAGCTGGCATCACTACGGAAAAGCCTGGGGACATGAGATTCAAGGTCACCCAAGTCACACTACAAACTCATGGGCAAAAAGATTTCCTTATGTTGCTGAGACTTTGTGGTTGTTGGATATAAAACTATATATGACAAAAGTTGACTGATGTACAACCTGAATTTCAAAAATAAGGAATGTAAGAAATTGTGACATATGTATTAAATACATATATGATATATGTATTAAATACTCACTATTATTTATCTAGTGGCATGTATCTATACACAGAGGAAGAATATGGAAGATATCTGAAATATATTAAGGAAACAGGTAAACATGTATACACAGTAAAAATTCATTTTTATGTAAAATATAACTGCATGTGTATGTTTTTACATGCTCAGGGAAGATCCTAAAAAACATACTAAAAATGTTTGTCTCTGAGTGGGAGAATATAAATATTTTTACTTTCTTCTTTAAGAATGTCTATTTTTTGCATTAAAATAAATTTACAGCAATTTAAGTTGAAATGAAAGTAATATTATTTCATTTAGGAAGACGAGGAAAACTAAATAATTGTGACTATAACTTGCCAGATACCCTTGGTCAGAACTAGAAAAAGTTTTTTTTTTCTCTCTCAAATCTCCTAAAGAGTTAAAGCTATGTTTAAAAAAAACAACTGGCAACTGAAGGCTGAAGTATGCTTCAAAAATTAAACCAAATCCCCTTCAACAAACAAAAAACAGCCCAGCCTGTTTCTTCTCCAAATTTGTCTGCTTATTACATCAACTAATGAAAAATTCTTTGTTTCAAGCATTGAGTATCTGTTAGTGCTTATATGGTTCCCAAAGGTAAAGTAAACCTTTTCTCCTGTGTCTAACTCTTGACGATTTGTTCTTGATCTACCCATAAAACCCCAAATCCAGAAGCAATGATTAGGAAACTGCAGACTCTAATAAAAATAATTTCATTAGCGTCAGGGAGAGAGAAAGGTTACCCAATTACAAGGACAAAAGCCTGGTATTAAAAACAGAAGCTCTGAACACAATAAATAATATGGACAAACAGACATGGATAGTATTACTGAAGTCTGGTGGGCGTCTGTACAAAATACACTTACCTAGTACCTCTCTCAGGTACAGGGGAGTTGCTGGAAACAGAAACAAAATGACGACTAAAGGGGGGGGGGGCAAAGCCACCAGTGACCAGCGAGCATTTACAGTTCCAGACAAGGCTTGCAAAAATGCTCGCCTGATTTCCCCGCAGGTGTTTCTGCTCCTGTCGACTGCCAGGGCACGAGTGGGGGCCCACGGTTCTCTGGTGTGAAGGATTATAGTTGTTTCAGTTACAGGACATGAAGCAGACCTGTGCTTGCAGGAAATATTAAAGACCTGTTTGCTGGCAGAAGAATGACAGAAACTTTCATCTCTGTGAACCAGCAAATGGCACCCTTTTCTAATGGCCCATTAGGGACGGCCAGGAGGACCAGCTCCTCGGAACACTCTGCCACCCTGCTCAGTGTCTAGAAAAGGCCCATCTGGCTCTTGTCCCTTGTCAGTCACTCTCTTGGTTACCAGCGACCTCCCATTACCTGAAATGCAGCTCTTAATATGTATTTTCTGTTATGAGTTACATAATTACACTGAGTGTAGGTGTGTTTTAAACCATCAAAAAGTAACTTGAATTCACTCTACAGATGAAATTCTTTCTGCATGTCTGCAACTGAAATTCTTTACAGTTGAAATTCAGGATCCGACTCTCTCTTTCCAATGTTGTGCTGTTTTGTGAATTTTGATTATCATTAGCGTCTACCAAAGTGTGTTGACTACCAAAAGCTGCAGCTTTCTACTTTACAAGCGTATCTCCATGGATACTTTACATGTGTTCATTTATGAAACTCTGAGGCTGGAGGATTTAATTTTGTTATATTCCGCTTTGTAAGAGGCTTAAGTAGATGTCATAACACAAGATAATGGAAATTACAGTAAGTAGATTAGGACACAATGAACCCAGGAGAGCAAACATATTGCAGATTACTATACCTGCTCATGCATTTGCTAGAGAAAGGCTTGGCGCTTCCTGGCATGAGTCACAGAGTGACATGCTA